ATCCTGCGCTCTCCAAGCCCGAAACGGTGTTTAGAGATGTTTCATAGTTTTTTATGTTGTAACTGTGTATTTTTCACCTATTTTAGGAAGGGGAGAGGGGCTCCGGGGTGGGTGAGCCAATTGGACGTTCAACTTTTATCTCATATCAGCTTCTTGCACGAGACAACCATCTCACCCACCCCCGGAGCCCCTACCCTGCTTAAAAAATAGGTTTTGTCGGCTCAGAAGAAGTGTATCCAAAATATGCAAGCATATTGTTTGTTCTGAATCACGAAACACATCAGTACAACCTTACCATTCCTTCTCAGACTCAGACCCACTACTGTCTTGCTGGAGAGCGCAGGGAGCCGCGCCCAGCCGCGCCGCGTGGTCCCCCCCAACCCACTTAGCACCGAGAGTTCTATGGTAAAACCGGGACAGAAGGGTGGAAACATAATTTCAAGCTGAGAAAACCTAGAAGACGCTGTCATTGGACAAGAATAATGGTAAATTCTCACAAGAGTAAAAGAATCTCTTCACTTCGTTTGTTTCTTGAACTTCACATACTATAGCAACGAGAAAAGGTAACTCTGAGTTCTTACAAACTAAACGACGTTTGTTTTACAAATAAGTGTCACGCCTGCATAATGATAAAGCCGACAACTGGGGGGAACAAGGCAGCTTGCAGATTAGTCTCAAGCAGAAGTGATAAGCATCAAGGAAGAGTTGTAGACCGACGAGATACCATCCGGCACGCTCAAACAAAATAAAACATTTCAGTGGAAAGGACACTCGGATGAACCCTGTTAGATTTCACATCTACCGATTTGCTAAAGCTAATAGCATAAATTTGGTAGTGCAGTGGGTGGAATGAGTTGTTCAAAAGTGATATGCGCATAATAATGGCCAAAAACTGAACTGTCGAGTAGAACCCTTCAGTATGGCAACGCTAATCAACGTCACACAGTATGAATTGAACAATAGAACAAAATGTTTATTAATAAGTATTGTATCTTTCAGTTATTATCCATTTGAGTAACAACTAATACGCAGCTCAAAGAATTCCAAAAATAACGATGAATGAATGTGGGCAGAATGAGAAGCGGTTCTCTCAAATCCACAATAAACTTGAAACTAAAACATAATCATAAAGTTATGATCCAACAGAAGTCACAATGTAACTAATGCGTTACAAAAAAAA